GTTAAGAGGCTCTTGACCTTATCTGTTGGTGAGGGTGTCTGGATATATATTCTCTTTTGTATTGTTTGTCGTGACTGATCTTTTTTTTTTTTTTTTTTTTGACAGAGTCTCACTTTGTTGCCCAGGCTAGAGTGAGTGCCGTGGCATCAGCCTCGCTCACAGCAGCCTCAAACTCCTGGGCTCAGCAATCCTACTGCCTCAGCCTCCCGAGTAGCTGGGACTACAGGCATGCACCACCATGCCCGGCTAATTTTTGTATATATTTTTAGTTGGTCAATTAATTTCTTTCTATTTTTGGTAGAGACAGGGTCTCGCTCAGGCTGGTTTCGAACTCCTGACCTTGAGCAATCTGCCTGCCTCAGCCTTCCATAGTGCTAGGATTACAGGCGTGAGCCACCGCGCTCGGCTTCGTGGCTGATCTTTTTACTAGCAAGTTCCCCATTTTAATTTTTTTTTTTTTTTAAGACTGTCTTGTTCTGTCACGCAGGCTAGAGTGTGGTGGCATCATCATAGCTCACTGCAACTTCAAACTACTGGGCTCATGCTGTCCTCCTGCCTCAGCTGAGACTACAAGTGCATGCCAGCATGTCCAGTTAATTTTTCTATTTTTTTTTTTTTTTTGTAGAACTAGTGTCTCCCTGTATTACCCAGTCTGTTCTCAAACTCCTGGTCTCAAGAGATCCCCCCACCTTGGCCTCCCAAAGTGCTAGGATTATAGGTGTACCACCATGCCCAGCCTCCCCATTTTTTATTTATTTATTTATTGCCAGTCAAATTTAGCAGTGGGAGGTTGGTATACCAACTTTAGTGACACTAATGTTAATAAGTTCTAACAATGCACTACCATCAGACTAGCCCCATTTTAATTTAAGAGAACTCCTAGGACTGTTTTTCTTAGTATATAGGTCATTACTCATCTGAAGGGTATGAAATCAGTTTGATGAATAATCAAAGGATGAACGTTTAAAACAAGTGGAACAGGAGAGAAACTGTCAAAGTGCTTTCCATGTAGTAGGGGGCAGGTATTGTTTTTTGAAATCTTTTTTTTTCAGTTATGTAGATTTGGCATGTACCAGATATAGAATACATTGCTTACTGTGGGACACAGTCAAAAAAGTTTGAGAAACCCTATCTCCAAGTTGGTTTTACAGCTGTTAGAAGACAATCTTATTTGAATTTGGGTAATAAATCCCTCTCAGATTCCTATTCTGGATTTTGCCTTGCTAATTTGCTTCAACAAATACTCCTCAAGCATCTGCTATGAGCAAGGTAGAGAAAGAAGGAAGCTCAGTTACTGACAAAAGATCTAAAAACAGATTTGGCACTGGACATCAACTAAGATATTAGTGTGATTTGTTGTCAACCTAAATATTATGTATCATGATCCTTTTTTTTTTTTTTTTGGCCTACAATCAGTAGAAAACCCAATTGGAACCCTTGCTGAAAGGGAGTTTTATTGGCATGTAAGTTAAAAAAATCAAGAGATGAAGTAGGATTTAGTGACTTGAGGCTGGAGTTAGTGGCTCAGTATCTTCAGGGTCAGATTTCTTTCATATGTGGGTTTGCTTACTTTGATATCAGCTTTACCCTCAGTTTAGCTCTTCTTGAAGCTCCAAGTAAGCTAAATGCTTCCTTGTTAATTTTGAGACTCTTTTTCCTAGCATTACCAATAAAAGTCTTGGTATTCTCTGATTAGATTGCCTCAGATCAAATGCTCATCTGGGAACCTGTCAGTATTGTCAGAGGGTAAGAATAACCTGATTGGCTCAGACAGATTCATGTTCCATACCCAGAAAAGGGAATAGGAATGGGGTTAAATCATTTTTCCAAATGATGTATGATCGGTCACTCATGACTTTTTTTTCTATTTGTGCTCAACCATCTTGGGGTAGGAATGAAGAAAGTGAACTTGTAGCACTGATTTTTGGGTTAGATAGCTGTAAGGAAAGGATAAGAATTTTAATCAAAGGTGCTAGTTCAGATGATACATCTTGAAGTCCAGGCTGGCATGGAAGGAAGAGAAGGAGTCCAAAAGAAGGGAGAAAATGGAGAAAGTAAGCCCATGGAAGAAAAAAGATGATGAAGGAATGGAATATTGGATTTTGAAATGTCCAAGGTAGAGCAGTTCCAGGTGATGTGAGAATTCATTGTATAGCCTTGGAAGTAAGTGGCTAAAATTGAACGGAAATGAAGGTCTAAGAATTTTGAGATTGGGTAGATCATCTAATGGAATGATGAAATCTTTTAGGATTATGGATACGTTTACCACAAGTTTGGTCTTGGTCTTCAGTGAATTGGAGGATCTATCTGAAAGGGGGTAGGTGATAGTGAGGATCTGTGGGTTGGATAGTAGCAGGGTTGCAGGTCATAAACCTTAGAGAATGAACCTTATACAAGATTGAGAGTGCTGCTTCTGCAACCTGTAAACATGCTTTCTCTATGTGTGTTTTTTTTAAACTTTTATTTCATATATATATTTTTTGAGACTCGAATGCAGTGCTCTCATCATAGCACAGTGCAACGTCAAACTCCTGGGCTCAAGAAATCCTCTGAGATCCTCCTGCCTCAGCTTCCAGAATAGCTAGGACTACAGGCACTTTATTAAATAAAAAAAGTTGCTGTACTGGAAAAGTAATAAGGGTAATATAAAAATATTGAGTTGAGGGCATGGTTTTCTATGGGCTGACATCAAAGCAGAGACATATTATACATGTAAATAGTCTATATAAAATTTTTTCAGGATGCTGATTACTTTTTAAAGTTATGCTATTAAACTTTTAAGTATCAGGAATGAACTTGCCCCAGCCCAATTTTAACTTACTTTCCTGCTAGAATCAGGTCCAGAGTACAAAAAGGACTAATGCAAATAATTTAATATTATGAGCATCTTTTAATCTGTTAAAACCATTAATCTTATTTTTTTCATTCTGAAGGTATTTGTTGTGGACACAAGAATGACTTCTAAGAACAATGGCTGATTTTTCCCCTTTCTTAGAACTTCTTTAATTTACTCATTAAGTGCACGAAGAACTTCTCTTTAGAACTACTATGCAGGCTATGTACTCAAATGTGGAGTTGCTTAAGGCTCAGTGCTAGATACGAGAGGCACACAATGGAATGCTGGTTAACATGAAGAAGAATTCAGAGAGAAAGATCTGGAAGTGTACTGGCATTTAATGAAAGGATAAGGAGTAAGAAAGATGGTTTGAGAACAGATACTGAAGTAGAGATTGAAGAACTCAATAAAGTAGAGATAATGCCATTGACTGCAAGTAGAAGGTAAATTTTACATCTGAAGATTCAAATAGCCCTTCTGGAGAATGCTGTAAAAGGATTACTTTTTGCCAGTAATAACCTAACTGAAGATAGAAAGTATCTGAACTTAAGCCAAGAGAGCAGGATTCTGATGTTCTCTACAGTATCTTTGGACGCAGAAGGAGGTTGGGAAAACAGATAATGGGATCATTCAGACTGGGATTAATTAGCATGAAGAAATATAAGTATCCATGTGAGTAGCTGTAATGCTAAATGGCATGTGTCTAATGCAGCGCATAGGAAGGCACATTATAAATGTTTATGCTATGAATTTACATGTAGAATTATCATAAAAACAAGATTTATAACCTATCTATGTCTAGAACTCGAATGAATTACATGCTAATCTTCAAACTTATAGGAATTACACTTAAGGGATGTTGCAACACTCCCTGTTTACCAGTTGTGTGAAAGAAGGGAGAGCCTCAAAATTGAATGTACCATTTTATTGAATTTTTAAAAATTTTTTAGAGACAAGGTTTCACTCTGTGGCAGGATGGATGCATAAGATTTTACCACCTCAGGCATGAGCCACTGCTCCTGGCCTGAATTCTTACCCCTTTTTTCCTGTGTTACTGTTGAGTACAATTCTTGAAAAGTTTGACTAATTTTAAGGACAGGAGGAATACAGCTATCAAGTTAAACCTAGAGGTTAATTTTGTTCAAATGTCTATATATTTCACCACCAACCATAAGACAAGTATTAATAGCAATTAGAGAGGAACTCAGGATGTAATATTCTGAAGTCCAGTTAACATTGCCTAATACCTTTCTTTCATCTGACTTCTTACTTAGGACTGGTGAATTCATAATGTGAAGAAAAATATTAGTTTAATTTAGAGCTAGCATACAATTAATAATTGCCTTATTTCATTTTTAATTTAAGAGGACATTACCTGTTCAATACACTTAAAATACACTTAGCTATATATAGTGGTGGTGTATATATATATAATTTATATATATATATATATATAATAATAATGGCAAGATGGCTCACACCTATAATCCTAGCACTTTGGGAGGCCAAAGCCAGAGAACTGCTTGAGGCCAGGAGGATCCTGAGCCAAGGCATTCCAGGTTGCGGTGAGCTATGATGATGCTGTACTCCAGCCAGGAACAGAGGAAACTGTCTCAAATAAATATATATACATATATTTTAGCTATATACAGTACAAGTCAGAAGGCTGTTAACTCTTTTCATACCTTTTAATCTTCAACTAATTTCTACCTAAATTTCATGAATCTTGCTTTCATCACTCAGCCCAGTAATTTTGCCTTTCTATAAACTCAAAGTTCCTTTTAACATACTTATTCCTTGGGGGGGGGGTGTCTAGCTAACCGTTGGCATCAGCTTCTTAAAAAGCAGAGACTGAACAAACATTTATTTGATACCTAACAGATAATCAAGCAGACTGATGCCGACCCGCCCATCCAGCTGCACCGCCCGCTCGCGCGCCCGCGGGGAAGCATGCGCAGTTGCGGC